GCTTAAAATAAGCTGCTGCTTGAAAGTCTCCTTGAAAGTTTGTAAGGAGTTAACACAGCTGAAGCTAAAACTTTCAGTATATGTCAGTTTTTTTATTACAGCTCACAACAGTATGATATTTTTTTCCCCAAACAACAAGGACTTTTAAAAATAATTAAAGAGAAAAGTAGGTCAATGTCAAGGATTAAGTGGTACAGAAGCATAAAGTCAAATAAAATCAAAGTTAGTATTTAATTCACAGTCCCATTTTGTTGTGTTCCAGTACTTTTTAAATGAAGTACTAAAGTGGAAATAGAATACTTTCACTTCATGTCAATTCTTAGTTTTTCTAACATGAACTACATAACGTCATATCTTCCATTGCTGATAAACCACATCAAGCTACAGGGATCTCTGATTTATACAGTACAGCAGAATAGGTTAGAATATGAAACTTAAAAGCACCAAATATATTGCCAAATAAAACCAACTATATGGACATTTATAATGAGGCTAACAGTTCTAACCCTTTCAGTCTGCATGGCTGTAATTCCCATTTTCTTTGCATGAAGAAAAATCTTCATAAATACAGAAAACTTTTTACTTTATACCTTCAGATGGTGATTATCTAGAAACAGTATCCTGGGCTGCATCAAAAGAGGAGTGGCAGCAGTGAGAGGGAGGGATTGTTCCCCTCTGCTCTGCCCTTGTGGGGTCCCATCTGGAGTACTGTGTTCAAGCCGGGGGTCCCCAACACAAAAAGCATATAGAGCTGTTGGAGGGGGTGCAGAGGAGAGCCATGAGGATTATTACAGGACTGGAGCACTTCTCCCATGAAGGCACATTAAGGGAGTGGGGCTTGCTCAGCTTGGAGAAGAGAAGGCTCCAGGGCAACCTCATTGTGACCTTCCAGTACTCGAGGGGAGTGTAAGCAGGAGCGTGACTGATTTTTTACATGGTCTGATAGTGACAGGACAAGGGGGAATTACTTTAAGCTAAAAGAGGGGAGATTTAGGGGAGATGTTAGGAGGAAATTCTTTACCTAAAAGGCAGTGAGGCGCTGGCACAGCTGCCCAGAGAAGCTGTGGTGCCCCATCCCTGGAGGCACTCAAGGCCAGGTTGGATGAGGCCCTGGGCAGCCTGAGCTGGTGGGGGGAGCTTTTAATAAATACATTTTTCTTTAGATAAAATCCCCTTAATTATGTGCATAAAGTTATGAATATTTTTGTTTTTCAGGTTTGTTTACCTGGCAGCAAAAGTCTGGACAGAGTTACAAAATGAGCTGTCTGCTTATGTTTCTGAACAGCCATTTTAAATCCCTGAAAGGTAAACTCACAAAGCTATGTAAAATAAATCAATAAAACCAAACAATAACAAAAGTGTGTATGTACTTTTTTTCATTGCTGAGTTACAAGGAAAAGGACAAATGACAAATTACCAATGGAGTCCTAATATCTCTTTCACTGTATGTCAAGATGATGTGGATAATGAAAGTCACAGAAAGTGTTATGCACAGCATCTAAGCAAAACTCCATTAATACTAAAAGAGCAAGAGTAGCCTGAGACACCTATTTGATGTTATAAATTCTGGAGATGCTATAAATTCTGGAGATTGGCCTATGCTTTTATACATCCTGGAATTATCACATAAATTTATAATTTAACACAAATTAGCAGTATCATATTTTAAATATAAAACATCTGTGCTGTCAGTGACTGCTTTTTCATAGAGAAAACAATTCAGTCTATTTTGAACTTTAAATCTCTGGACTTTTACCCTTTTCCCATTACAGCACATCAAAGCATAATTGCATATGATAGCATATGTCTGTGTGGTGTAGACTGCCAACTAAACTGCTGTCTAAAAATATCATCGTTGCTGGATCATTGTCTTGCTGTGGTAACTGTGAGCCATGACAAATTTCTCCTCCACCTTACCCACCTTGGTGCACTGTGGTACAGTCTGTAAGCACCACACTTCTGTTGTCCAATGATCATGACAAAAGCGTGCATACAAAAAGATGAATTTCAAAGTAAAAAAAGAAACGAAAAATTCACTCAAAGAACTGCGTCATACAAAACAATGGATGGATTGCAACAGACATTTATGTCATTCAGCATGTGTAAGTTCAACTGAAAGAATAGTGATTTTATACACAGTTCATGCCATAGAGACTGACATAAAAATGTCTTCAACATGTAAAAAGAATTCATTTGTCTCATCTACTGCTTAAAATCTGATTCCTGAACTAGTGGAAAAAAATTGGTTTTAATGTCATTCTACAGCAGACACAGTTTAAACTATTTGCTCTTATTTTTCAAAGACACTCTATTCCTAACAGTGCAGAAGTTGGTACACTAAAGAATTTAATGATCTACTGTGAGATACTATTTGTGGGTATCTGGAGAGCTATGCACTGAAAAACATGAAACCCTTCATCCTGTTGTTGATTCACTTTTAATAGTTGCTAAAACACATGCATCTATTTCCATAATTTGTTATGAACAGAACTTAGACAAGAGAGGCTTTGTCTGTCACTAATTTACAACAATTATAGAAGGAATTAAAAGCAATTAGCACAATGAGGCTCTGATTTACAGTTTTAAAAACACATACACACAAAAGCAACAAAGGTGGTAGTTAGCGGATGTTAGTATGAGTAAGGAGAGAGTGATTTTATCTCTTTAGGCAGTTACTGAAGTATTTAACCTCTACTTGCTACGTTCTTCTAACTGCAATTAGTCTAACCGCTAAGACCCTGAACGTCGCTGTATTTTAGGAGGCATGCCACCCTCTTATGAATCAGCTACAGCTGTAATTGTACTGTGGACAAATTCTTCTCTACAAAAGGAATTTCAACAGGTTACTTTCAATAGGTATAGAAGACCCGGCACTAAGAAAAGCTGTTTGTGTGCCTGTGCCATGTGTTTTAATGGCATCGTTGTTTCTGTACTTACATGCTGAGAATTTGCCCTTCCTTTACTGGTGTTATGAGAAAAGTCTGACTTGTAGGAAAAGTAAGAGAAAACTAACAGTTTCATAATGTGCAGCTGATAAGACTGTCTGAACTATTACAGTCTATTTGGAAATGTCCTTGGAGCTTTTACTTGGGGTTCTCTGGGGGAAAGAAAAGTCCTAATAGGCCATTCTTTTAATAGTAATGATAGCAAATAGAACTGATATCTGTCAGCTGTTGTGTATCAGCAAAAACTGCTTTCTGTTTGTTTAAAAATGACAAAGCCTAACTACATCTGCACTGAATTACACATTTTCTGGAAAAGGGTCTTCCGTTCATTATTTAGTAAGGGAATAGAATAAATACATAAATAAAAACAGTGGAAAACAGGTACTAGCAGCCTTGCTGAAAAAAAACACATGAATACTCAGTCTATCTTCAGCACTAGATTATTTGAGATACTAAGTTAAAGACACAATGCAATCATGCTTTAACATTGATTCAGGATATTCTGCATTTCTCTACATTTTCCAACAATCAAAAATCTCCATATTGTGATAAGACAATAGTTTTGAGATGGCTTGAGTGTGCCTTGGCTGGAACAAAATGGGGAAACGCAACCTTCAGCAGTGAAAGGTACAGAATATTCTGAACAAGGATTCATAAGGGAAAAAGAGGCTGACAATAGAGTTGCTCTTCTGCTTTGTTTTCTGGGAATCACTATATCACTTAAGTCAAACTCCAGGAAGCGAATGTAACTTAATGAAGAAAAAGGAAGGTTTTCACAATACTGTCTGCAAAGATCAGAAACAGTATTTGTTACATATACCATTCTTGTTGAGATGATCTGGTAAAAATGAAGAATCTTAATTACACTAACAAGTTTTCCAACAACTACATTAACTATAGGAAAAAGCAGACTGACTTATTTTTTTATCTTTGGACAAGCATGTGCAGAGAACCTTTCTTACAACCAAGAAAAAGAGTTAACAAATTAAGTATGCAGGAACTCAGAAGGAGAAGTCCTCTAAGCTTCTACTTACCTGTACCACTGACACAGCATCCCATGCGCAGGACTGAGACAAATCCTTCCTGTGGAGACACAGAGGAAAATAAATTCACTTCGTTACTAAGTATCTCATAATTAAGCCCAGGCCCGTGACTTAAAACAATCTTGCCCAGAGATTTATATCCAATGAAAAGAAAAATTGATTTCATTCGTTCTTTGCATGGAAACTAATAAAAGCATATGGACTTTATCCTCCCCAAACCTGAAATGTAGGAACAATCTCTTTTTCCTATTTATGCATTCCACAGCAAAGTTCCAGTCATTTTATTACATATTTTTCATCAGAGAAAAGGCTAAAATAAGAAAACTATATTCATAATTATAAATCAAGAATACAAAGAAATAGTTGATTTCTCTCATGAATCCTCCTGGTATGATTTAACCATTTTGAGCAGACAGTAAAATTGAAGATGAAGAATACAGTATGAAAGTGCATGAAAAGGTTCATCCTGGAAGCATTCAAGGCCAGGTGGATGTGCTCTGGGCAGCCTGGTTTAGTGGCTGGTGACCCTGCACATAGCAAGGGGGATGAAACCAGGTGATCACTGTGGTCCTTTTCAACCCAGGCCATTCTATGATTATGTGATGATTCTATTCCAGGCTACCTTCTGACTCTCTTACATTCTTTGAAGTACAAGCAACATCATGCATTTCAGAGGAAAGATATGGAACATAGATTACTAAACATGGCAAAATCCAGCCTTTAAAAAGAGACAGGAAAATGAAGTTTTTCAATTGAGAGAATTTTACAGGACAAAAAATGCAATCAAATGGAATGGATTACATCTATACACATTTACAAGTGCAAGTATATTTGCATATATAGTTTTGTATAAACTATATTAACATTTTTTAGAAAACTGAAAATAAAATCCAGTCAAAAATCCTTTGAAGAAGAACAAAGTGCTGAGAAGACAGAAAAAGGGAGCAGGCAAAGAAAGACTGAATACTGAAGTACACAAAACATGCAAACAAGACAGTTAAATCACCTTTAATGAAAATTCAGCTGTAACATCAAAGAATACAGAGGAAGCTGTAGGTTTTGTCATCTGAGCTTTGAGGTACCAAGTGTTTTCAAGGTCCTTAGTATAGATACATATTCCAGCTGCACTCTGAATCCCAGACATGGTGAAGATGTATCAAGATGTACCAATCCTAAATCATCCCTGCATTTCCATGGCCTTGATTTCTGTGGAGAGAAAACTACAATGCATAGGCTTGATGCCTTCATAGCACCTAAGCTCCAGGACATAAAAATCTTGTACTGGTTGCTCAGTGTAACTACTGAAAGTCTTGTTACCTTCTTTCCTTCTATCCAATCCGATGTGCAGCAGAACAAAGGCAGTTTGTGTGTGAAATGCAGGCTGGATCACATTCATGAAACTGGTCTCTTCCAGCAGTGCTACTGCTGCTGCAGTCTGTCAGCGACAGAAATATATTTATGACGAGTTAAAAATCAATACTACCAAGTGTCAGGGAGAAAAGCATCCAATTAAAACAAATGAGAATGTATAAGAAATTACATTATTTCATGGTAGTAAATTACCCTTTCCTTAAAATGAACTGAATACTGGTCAGAGTGAAGATGAATACAGATTATTTAGTAACTAGAAACAGCCTAGTGACTGGGAAACATATAGAAGAAAACCAAACCAAACTAAAACAAATCAAACAAACAAATCACTCCAATGAAACATTTATTGTCTCCATCTTATCTATCAGTGACCTTGGATTTTTTCATAGACAATATTTTGTAGTGTTTTGACAGTTTTGAATTGTAATTAATAGATAATTGTCTAGTCTTACTATGAATATGCAACTCAAGCAAAATGTTTCACCTCCACTCTTTTGTTCTGAGATCCTATTTGTGGCGTTCCCAGTGAATGATGCCAGGCCAAAAAAGCCAAATAAGAGAGGTAGATTTTCTCTATTTGACTGGTAAAAATGGCTGATAGCAAAAATGCAGCCAAGAAATTAGGAATAAATCAAATCAAATAACCATATATGTTTGATTCATTTTGAATTTAATTATTACAGGATTAAATTATAATGTGATAAAGATCTGAACTGAGAGAGAGGTTTAGTTTAATTAAGATTCAAAAAGGCAAGTTTTCCAATATTCCAAACTTGCAAATACTGTGATCAGATCAGATTTCTTGAATCCAAGGAAAATAATGATATGCCTGAAGTTAGACACCGACTGCATTTTCCACAAGTTTGGGCCTAAGTGATAAACTATGGAATGTGAAATGGCAATTTAGGGAACAGCTTGACCCTAGAAAGGTAGGATGCAAAGAACAGCAGTCAAGATCCAGCTCTCCTTGATTACTGACTGAGAACCTTTTGTGGCTAACCTGTGATTTCTTTGAACAGTACAGACTGACTAAATGAATAAAAAACTCACTAAAACAAGAGAACTAAGTAGCAACTAATTCAGAGATATCACAAATATTAGCCAAAGAGGAAAGTACTACTTGTTGAGGGAAAAGAAGGGATGGATGCCTCTGAGTCAAAATAATAAGAGCTATACAGCAAAGAAAAGTGCTTTTTTTCCATTATTTCTAAAAATAACTGCCATGCCCCTCCCCCACCCCAACAATTTCCAAATCAGTTGATTTGACTAAGTGCTCCTATTTTTCAGACAAAAGATTAAGGGCATCCCTAGGACGATGCATTGAGCTTCTACAACAACTTACACATTCATTAAAAAAAATACTACTCTAGCAACCAATAGGAAGTGGATTTGTATTCTTATTACACATTTGTACAAAATAAATATAAAGGAAAGACAAAGTTGTCAGAGAATGTTGCATGAAAATTTGTAAGACTGATAGGAAATCAAATGACTATATCTTGCTATGTTTTTACATTGGAAAACTGGAGTTATAGCTACCTCTTTCCCTTGGTCTTCATCCTGTTTGTTTATGCTTTCTTTTAACATGGGCATTTTTAACACAAAAACTAAAATATCACTGTAATGGTATAAGATGAATGTGAAAAAACAGGCCCAGGCCCTCCTGTCCATTTTATAACCATATTTTCTTCTCCTCAGCCCTCTAACCATAAAAGTGCATGCCTACAAGAAATAAATATAGATGGGATATCTTCTATGTTTCGGAGAAACTCATTAAAATATGACTGGATCTTGAAGCTTGGGTTACTGAAATTGCTACACATTTTCAGAGAAAAACTCTGAATTTAGAGAACAAAAACCTGTATAAAGCCACAAATATACGGAAACAAATGAGAATAAGGAAAGTGGAGGGGGAATTATTGCAGAATTTAATCTACTCTGGAGTATTTACTGGGTACAAAGGCATCAGGCACATCATCAGGGCAGGACAAAGAGCCCAAACACTGATCCTGATGTTGGTAGCAGAAATGCTGGCTCCTCTATTGATGTTAACTTCCACAATTCCTCTGCAAGTGGTGCTTTGATCCAGAGCCAGCATGCTTCAGGTCTTTGTGAATAGTGCTTGGATTTTGATTAAGAAACTGGATAACCTCTATTTCAGCTCATGAGAGAAACAAATTTTCAGTTTGTTTCTGCAGATCCAATAAAATTTATCATAACATCTGTACTGAATATTCCTTGTGACATTTTTATTAAAATTAAGATGAACTGTGCTAGGTTGGGTGTGGTATGGGGAAGAGAATAAGGAATTTGTAATATGTGGGATGAATCCTAGTCTTACTGAATCTAGCAGGAGGACTGCTATTGGCATTAGCACATAAACAAAGCCTTAATTCCACTGGTGGTTTCCCTTCCTAATTCTGTTTTGGCTCTGATAAATAACATCAGGCAAATAATTTCACCTCTTTGCTGCTTGCGCTCTCAGTCTTCAATTCTCTTCAGTCAATTGTGATACTCCCTCTGCTGAACTGCTGACTCTCTTACCTCAACGTAGAGAGTCCTAAACACAATGACATTCTTATATCAGTCTATAGTTATCATATTCCTACATAAGTAACAATATAAAAGCAGACTATCATGAAATACATAAGCAGTTTTTATTTTCACCGAGGCCAGCAACAGAATTGCAAGCAGAAATGAGTACTTACCCATGAACTCTCACTGAAGAGAATATTTTGATCACTACAGAAAACATCACATGCCTAATACAGAAAACTGCAGTACTCTGAGGCACATGGCAATCATTGTATTGATGCAGAGTACCTATAAACCAGATGAGGTGAGGGAATCAAGAATAGGCTTTCACACTGCGTTCTTTCACTTGCACTTGTAGCATAGCTTACAGATAGATGATATGCCTGTTTTTGTTTCACAAAGCCTACTGCATGTCAACACTTATCTAGAACAGGGCAATTTAGGATGTCAAGTGCTACTTGAAAAATGTCCTTTAACTTTCCTTAATTGTCAAACTTTAAGAGTTAGCTTAAATTTAATTTTGTTGCATTTAAGGTCTAGTTTTATGATGATATAATTTATTTTGGACATCGCGGGTGACATTGTTCTGCCTGTCAATGGAAACATGAAAGAATATCATCATAATGAATATCCATGGACTCACATAAATCATTCAAAACTTCAGATATGCATGGAGAATTTACTTTGACCCTGTAATGACTTTAATAAAACTGTTTCAACCTCGGCTGTGTCAGCAAGAGAGACATGAAATGATGGTGTTACAGCCACAACACCTCAACATTTAAATATTTAGGAAAAAGACTGATCATTTTCTTTTAGCAGTCTTTAATCCTTCCAAAATTACAGTCTCTTACAGTACCATATGCCAGAAACACACGGGATTTCCTTTTTATGTTGCCTCATAACATCAGGGAGCTGTAGTTATTACTTGAATCAAATCATTTAACAACAGACATTAGGAGTATGTCAATTCAGCAAAACGAAAATGTGAAACTTTAATTTAGCTTTAATTTAGTCATAGGAATGAAGGTGATATCACCGATAGTTTGGAGGACTTAGACTGTGACTGTAATTTCCATCATGTCATTGATGCTCCTGTTAGTCTTATTAAAACCACTCATGATTAATGTTATGTGGTGGACAGAGCCTTAGAGAACTTTCTTTGAGCAACCCAAGGCAAAACACTTTTACATTAGCCCTGTCACTACTGTTATTTCACTTACTATAGGAAAATTCCACGAATCAGGATGGAGTTCAGCATCCAGCATGGCAAGGAACAAGACTTTTCTTATCTCTTGGTAGGTGAGACCTTGAGAAGAAAGCTACTTTCACAGTTTCAGTCATAGAAGAGTTGCATTTTAAAATTATAGCCTGACCTGCTTCAAAGTGAGCTGCTTTTTGCTTACCAGGAAAGACTGTCAAAGATCTGGGAAGGCTATGACATAGAAACTTTTATAAGAACTGAATTGCTTTTGGATTTGGAGGTGGAAGGGGAGAACAATGCTGAGAGAAAAAGATCTCCAGGGAACTCCTGGCTTTTGTGTGTGTAAGGGACTATCCCTTCTCAAGTCTGATACAGAAAAACATTCAAATCTTCTCTAGGAGAAGTAAGCAACTATGAAATATCAGATTAAATTTTCTGTGCGTTATGTGGGAATTGTAAGGACAGAACACAGATAATGAGAGATTAACAAGTCAGAAGTAAACATAGTTGTAAACATACTCCCACATAATTGATTAAGGTTTTAGATATTAAAATCTACAAACAGCAACATCCTCATTTGTCATCCTCAGACCACGGCCCTGCAGTTCTGAGATTAAAAGTCCAAGGTAATGATGTGATTTACTATCTTACAGGTATACAGAGAAAACGTCCTTGAGAAGAGTGAAAGATTTAAACTGAACACATTTCTGGATGCAAGAAAGAGACAATGAAATGTCAACAATGACATTTTAGGTATATATTTTTTCTCCTTCTGATCTGGATACTCTGCACAATGCAAAAATAACTGGAAAGCAAAAGAAACAATGGAGGTGTGAAAGAAGGAATTGCTAATCTTCCTATTCTAAGACAACTATATTTTCAAAGCCAAAACCTGGAAAGATGCACCTGGAGATAACAGTGAAATCAGTGAAATTAATGAAATAGTGGAATTCTAGTGAAATTTAACCAGAAACAGAAAGCTACATGGAGTATAGTTTCCATGGGCTGGAAGAAAAAAAAAAAGTGTCTTTCTTCTCTAAATCCAGCTCCCTGTCATGTTTCCAAAACCAAATAAACTAAGCCCCTAGCAGCAGGTTACCAGAAAGAAGCATAAAAAATATAAACATTTATCAATCTTCCTCTATTTTTGGACAAACCATCTCCAATCTGTCCCTTTAAGGTTTCTCTTCCGCTGCATGCTTTACTGTATTATCAGTTTCTTTTCCTTTTCCCTTGTCTATTTCTCACTTCTGGTTTTCCAAGCTAAAGTTTTCCTCAGTATCCTGTTCACTGTACTTCATTTTCTATTTTACACATACTACTTATGACTACTCTATCCCTATCCAGTGGCAGTGCCTTCCATCCTTCTTTGCAGTGTCCTATTCCTTTGCATATTCATACCTTTCTCCTTCAACCCATGATCTTGCCTAACAACAATATGCATGCATTTTACTGTCCCCTGCCTGAGTGAAGCCACTTGTACAGATGCTGGAGCATAGCAGTTTTCTACTCAAGTAACTTTTCTGATCAGTGACTTGCATTTTTCTGAATGTCCATGGCAAAACAAATAAAGAAACAAAAAACAACAACAACAAAACCATAACAAAAATTCCACCTTCAACAGATGATTTTGTAAGACAAAAAACCCTTTCCCTATTCCAATTCAGCATTAAATGACTACCTTTTCCTTATCGTGATCCCTGAATAAAAAAACATGTATAGCATTCATATTCACCAAATCCAAATCAAGATTGAATGATTTTGGGCAGATGTATAGAGATGAACAAGCTGCACTTCAGTCAACAAGAGCTCAGTGTACAGCAGCAGAAATAGTGCTGTTAGGCACTGACAGTGCTAGTCCTGGGATCCTCTGATTATCAGACCAACCAAGGATGTTATCTGGCTGCAGGTGAGCTAGATAAAGATGTCAGTACTTCTCACTGTACACTGGGCTGTCAATGACTGTAACACACCAGATGTATCAACATAACTGCTGGATCACTCCCTTATCAAGTTCTATTGAAATGATCTAGGTTGGAAAAATCCTTACTTTAAATGGTGTAAGTGAGCTCAGTTATTCTGACAAAACTGAAGACGTAATTTATCTCATATGCCAGCAGAAGAGAAAGCAAAATGACGTTCCTGTTCTATACAGAATACATAGAGATTTTAGAATGGTAGTCTGTGATTTAAGCAAAGGGTGTAACCAAAAAAACTGCATAAGTTACTTGAAGATCATAAATATTTGAGATACAGACTTTAGATTGTCTGGTGAACCTGTAATTCCTTTATTTATCTGTCAAATTCATGTAAAAAGAATGGTAAGAAATGAAATGAGTATGTTTTCTAACACTAAAATGTGAACCTGACAATGAGAAATGATATACTGCCTCAGCAGAAGGATGGTATTTTTAAATATCCAACTTGAGTGAAGTATGTCTCAATTAAAACCTATGGAAATATGCGTGCATTTAAAAAACCCTCACATTGTTTTTCACATAAAATATGTGTTAACTTATAAATCTACCTGAATGCAATCTTTTTATTAGCAGCATATTCTTGCATCTTACTCACAAATGTAAATGTATTTGTGTATTTGTTAGTCACAGACGATCAGTTACAAAGATGTGTATTTATGCAGTAATTTCAACTTCAGAATCTGTGTAAGAGTTATGTAGTGCACTATTGCCACAGCAGTGCTAGACTGTATTTTATTCTCACAACCTTGAACAGCGTATTAAAGAGCTTAATTTGCTAGCTTTTGTATGCTATTCAACTGTTTTTCTCTGCCGGAAATATATTCCTTGAGGCAAATAATTGTAGCTAAGTTCAGTAATTCAAAGTTATTTCTACACTAATATTTTATTGTACACATCCCTTATCCAAGTGTCATTAGCAAGAGTCTAATTGATCTAACAGATCAATTTCAGATAGTATTTAAAAGAACAATTTAAAAAAAATGATTGCTCAAAGCCCTCTCTCAGCTAAGCTCAGGCCTTAGGGTTTTGTTCCCATTGGGTGAGGGGCTCCCTATGGTGGTTGAGTAGAAGGACGTACAGCAGTGATCTTCATCTGAATGAGCTCAGATCAGTCAACTGGCAAAAAATTACCCTTTTCTTCTTGATGGCATAGCTTCTTGCTGATCGAAACAAACAAAAATCCGCCATTACTCACCATTCTTACAGCTTTTTAGGTTAAGTGGGACCTCGGAAAGTATTACTGGGGAAAATAAAGCACGGAGAACACATTGCTAGGTTCTCGCTTCTTTGTTACCTTTCTCGTAATGACTATTCTAAAAATGCTGCCAGCTTTATGAAAGCATTTGGCTCACTGGAGCCAGATGAGTGACAAAACTGGCACAAGGAAAGAAGCAGCAGCAAATACATATCTGGGAGTCACCTTTTTGGACCGGCTCAACGTCTCTCATAAGACTGCAACCTTAAACATGCCACACTGGCAGACATTTGGGAGCGTATGAACTCCGGACAAAAAAATCCTCCTAAAGTCTAATTGCATAACCTAACATGAATTAGCATATGAATGCAAAAAGATGTCTGTGACGTATGAAGGTCTTAAATTGGTTATCTGCCAATGGAAATACAACAGTAAAGTACACGGTCAAGTAACAGTAAATTTAAATTCAGGATTCCTGCTTCTGCATACAAAATGCCATGACTTTATGCAGATCCCATAAAAAAAAAAATCACAAGTTCAAATTTATTTAAGAAACACAAAAGGGTTGATCTTGCATCATTACAGTTTATGCTGGATCAGGTATCACCTACTTTCCAGCAGTTTACATAAAGATCTAAAACTGATACAAACTTCATATAGTCCAGCTAATCCCATAAAAAAATGTGCCCATATGCTCATCCTGATCCAAAACAAATACACCCTGCTAGATGAGCTGGCAGTAAATAAAGTAAAAATACAGTGGGGAAAAAAAAAATAAAAAATTGCAGCCTTAGAGCCACTGCAAAAGCTTTATAAATTCAGGTTCTGCATACCCTGACCATGTACAGATCATCTGCTCACACTGAATTGATCACGTTGTCAGTGTGTTCCAGCCAATGAATCTATTACACGTCGAGGAAGAAAGCAATAGCGCACCAGGAATACTTGATAAAATATATAGGTAAAACGCTGTTAATGATGATACTTTGCCCTTTAATCCCCAATTATTTTCAAGTAAATATCCCTGTAAAATACAAACAACGTGAATGGTTGTTATTCTGACAAATGGGCGGTTACCATGAGATATATGTGTAAAACACAAGAATATACTCAAATTCCAAACCCTGTTTTAATGGAATACTTCTCTTATACCAAACACATTCTGCTAATCATACACTCATAATATTTCACATTGAACTTTTTTTTTTCCCCAGTGAACAGGTTACTTTTCTTGTGCTAGTCACTGAATCAAGCCTGTTTTACATCTGATCTTAAGATCAAATTTTGTTTTTCAGTCCTTATATTGGGAGACAGTAGATTTTAGTGATATCAATATCAATTCCTCACTGGAAAAAAAGCAATCCCTCAAGCTAATGGTACACTAAAGCATTGATGGCACAAACACAAATGCTTGTTTGGTCTTGTTCTGAAACTGAAGCCATGCCCCCTGGACGAGAACCAAGTATACTACCAGATGAGTGATACAGAGACTCTGAAGAGAAACATGAAAGCATAAGACTGCTGCCAAGACTGCACTGTATCACCTTCATATTCAAGGCTTTTGTCCAAGTTAAAAACAAAGCAAAATAAGCAATCCGTTTTTATTCTGGAAATATGTGAACCTATTCATGAATGAACAATATGGAGTTAGGTAACACCCACCTAAGATCTTTTAGATCTTTTAGCAGAGGCTGGATATATCCTTTTTTTTTTTTTTTCTTTTCTTTTCTTTTCTATGTTTTCATATATTTTCCATCAAAATACATTTACTTGTCTGTGAGGAAATTTGGTTTAAGTTTCTGTTTTTAAATAGAAAGCTTTGATGCCTTTTGTTTAACTTGAATGCTTTCCTCCAACACGAAAAACAGAGTTGATCAAATCATT